TTGACCACTCATTATTTCGTATTTATCCATCGATTTTCTTCTTGAGTACCTTGATTTTTTTTTGTAACAGTTTTAGTACAAATGCAAAAATTTGGCACGGAACCTGTTATTTTTTAAATTTTTCTGTTAAAGTTTGATTTTTTAATTTTTTTATTAAAAATAAAAAAGCTGACATGATTAATTTGGGCGGTGCCACGCCTATTTTCCAAAATTTTATCATAAGCGTATTTTTGGTTAAAGCATGGACAGTATTTTTATATTTTTATAGAAAAAAAAAACAAATTAGCTCGAAAACTTTATGAATATTTAAAAAGAACTAGCATGTGATCACTTGTATGAGTCACTGTATATGTTTTTATTTGTCTAGTAAACGCATCTGAAGCTCTAGAAAAAATACGCTAGAATTTGCTCTTTCTTATTTCAAAGTTTACTTCGAGAAGAGTTTAGCATCATCAAAATTTTCATCCCAGCCATTAAGGCTTGGCAATCACGATGAATCCTAGTACACATTTGGATATCAAAGCCTTTATTTTGTTCTTAAGAATTATTCTACGAACTACATACTTGCGTATGTAGATATGTATAGCCATCTCAACATTGTTTTCACCCCCACCCACACTCACCTGCGTCTCAGTTACATTCAGCAATTTAGCCATTTCTGTGCGTTCACTCGAACTGAGATATTTCTTTATCTCAAATTGCTTCTCCAATTCGAATATTTGACGTCCAGTAAAGGTTGTGCGTGCCTTCTTTTTTCGACGCGCATCCGTCGAACCCGAATCCGAATCGTCTTCGGTAGTTTCTACGGCAGCCGTGGCGGAGGAGGGTGGTGTACTAACTGTGGGAAATTGCTTGTCGCGCATTGCGCTATCGCTGCTGCCGGTAGGACTCACTTCCGGCACTGGCATCGATGATGAAGACGCTGGCGTTGCAACAGTCGACGGCGTTGATGTAAGCGGCGTTGCGCTTGTCGCAGAAGCAGCGGCTGCAAGTTTTTTCTTCTTAACACTCGATTTGCCTGTGTGATTGGCATCTGAAATGAGGGAAAGAAGGAAAGTCAAAACGAATAGACAAATGTGATTTTCTACTTAAAGGCATGGTTTTGTATGCACGTATGTGCATTAATCAAATCCTATTTATTTATGTTATCGACAATGGAAATATGCAAATGTTTATAGCTAAAAATGACTGCCTTCTGGAGTGTCTCGCTACATAGCTGCATAATTGGCAGGCGGCAAGGCAACAATGCTGTCTGTCAAGCGATGCTGTCAGTCAATTTGTAACCTCATTTGCTTGCAGTGCTGCTTGCCAATGTTGCTTTTATATAGGTATGCACATTGTACATATGCATATCCGTAGGTGTTGAGGGTACATTCCATTGGTGACGGTTGTTTTTGTTGTCACTGTAGCCTCGTATAATTGTTGTTAATGCTCGCACCTTTAAGTGCCTGTTGAATGCTTTTGAGTTTATTGCCAATTTCGACGCACTTAAACGGCGTTTAGCAACAGCAACAACAAAAGCAATAACAAGTGACATAAACAGCCGCAGCAGCAACAACAACTGCCAGCGATTCTGTCTAATTGCGTTGCGGCTTGCCATTTGATATGCAGCTGCGGTTTTTGCAATATTTACTGTTCGCCTTGTTGTTGTTGCAAAACTGCTTGTTATTGTAACACTTGTTAAATTTCAATTTGTTGTCCGAGATTGGCATTGTGTTGTTGCTAATTTGACTTTAGATTTCAATTGATTAAATTGACTGTGCATAGTTTTATTTTTATTATTTTTTTTTGCTAAAAGCACTTAAGTGAATGTGAATTAATAGAAAAAAATCTCCTTTGTACGAGTAATGGAAAAGTGTCATTCCTTAAGTGAGATGTGAGTGTGTTTTATATATAAGGATTTACACTATAAAACACAAATTTTCTACTTAGGTCCAGTACAAAAATCTGTAGTTAATTTCCGATTCTGAGTTAACTACGCACTGTGAATTTGGCCATAAGTGAAATAGTGAATTAACGATGTCTTGACAAGAAGTTATCTACGAAAAAACCCTGGTAAAAGGACAGCGAGAAGCTAGAATCCAGTTTTTCCAAATGGTACTGGGTAACTCGACCCTGAGCAATTATTGCGAATTAATCGATTAAGCGAATTTTTATGGGCACACTTTTACAGTGAGTATTCACGAAAACACTTTTCAATAAAAAGTTTCTAATTCTCTTGTTAATTAGACTTAAATAAAAATAAGACGAGTATTTTTTAGCGGCGATAATTATTTATAATTTAACCAAGTTTGCTAATACAAAAGTCTGACAAGCGTTTCGTTGTTGTAGATGTAACACCAGCTTTTGAAAAAAGACACTAATCAGACACCGAGGTACCAAATAAATGACAGTATTTTTTCGAAAGTCCCTAAAGTTTTGGGTAAACAGTTTTCATTTCCTCCCAGACGTCGCACATAGGGACAAATCGAGAATTTAGGACGACAATAATGTACCCGTATAACACTTTATGCATTTAATTACTATCATTACGATTTGCATATAACCAAGTTGGTACTAAAGTGCAATAATGGAATGGAAATTTGCAAAAATAAGCGAATAGTCATATCAATTGTAACTACTTATAGTGGAAACGAATGTAAAAACTGATTAAGTAATAGCAGAACAAAGCTTTTTCATGAGAAAGAAATACATAAAGTGTACGAAGGAACAAGTAACTCACTCAGCTACATACATACATAGCTGCCTAGTGCAAATGCAAATGACCTGAATATAAATAAATGCAATTGCAATAAACTGCGTTTATACGAGCGCATATAAAAATGGCATTAAATGTGAAAATAAAAGGTAAACGGGAAATAAATAAAAAAAAAAACAAGCTTATAACAATTGCACTTAAGTAACAATATTGAAATGTACACCTACATTTATCTTTACATACATTCGCACCAAAATTGTTAATTAGAATAAATAGCTAATAATCAGTAGTAAATTAAGAAAAACTAAATGTAGATAAGTAAAATAATATTTATAATACATACATAGTGGTATTTATGCCTATATATGTACATGAAATAGGGTGGCCAAAGAATACATTTCTTTCGTGGAAAAAAAGAATTCATTCTAATACCAAAAACGAAAATAAGTTTTTTTTTATTCTAGGTAATTTTAATATTAACACGTGCCACCTAGCATCCCAATTTTTCTATGTAAGACTGCATGGGAAAACTTTATGTTTTCGAAAACCAAGGTCACCAGCCAAGATTTTAAAAAAGTTAACATTAAACTACTAGGATTTAAACACGACTCTCTTCCAACTAATTTAACCTATATAGCTTTAAATTATGAGCACTTGGCCCCCGCAAAGCATCACCCCAAAGTTACACCTTCTGTGAAATTTGGAGTGGCGCTGTACGGGGTCCGGCTGCTCATTATTTTTCAATTCCAGTAGTTTAATGTTAACTTTTTTTTTTTAACACTGGCTAAAGATTTTGATTTTTCGAAAATCGAAAATTTTCCCAAGCTTTTTGCATGGAAAAATTGAGATGGTTCATGGTACGTGGGGTTTATTGCTATTTTCTAGAAGGAAAAATTTAGGGCCACCCTAATATGAATGTACTTGTATTTACATAGTATATATGTATGTATGTATGTATAAAAGTTGCATGAATGCAATTAGCACATGGTACTACTATCCGCTACTCCGTCTGCCTCACCTCCACCTCCACCACAACCATTTTCATTTGCATTGATGTCACGTTGCCAAACGGCTGTATTGGCGTCTGGCAACTTGTATTAACTGTAACTAATGGTTGTGGCTTCATTCGTTGTTGATGCATGCGACAATTGCAATTTGTTTGTGGAAAGCGCGCGTTCCTGTATTAATTCGCTCGCTAATGTCAGCGTCATAGCTGGTTGAAGCTTTCTGACTTACATATTGTTGGCTTAGTGTGCAAACGTGCTAAGTCCACTTTTTAAGATAATTTGAGATTTTAATGCAGTAAGATAGCACAACTCAAAATATATCATCACAAAAAAAGTTACCGTAATGTCGTTCTTACTTGTTATGCAGTTGTATGCAAATGTGCTAAGTCCAAAAAAAAATCAAGAAAACAATATAAACGAAATCGGAGAAAGACAAAATCGGACTGTAACCACGCCCAGTTTCCATATAAAGGTATTTTTGGAAAATTCAAGAACTACACACTAAGCCAACTTTATATTCTTTATCATTTTATTGCATCTAGTGTTTTTCTAAAATTTTACTAGAACAAGTAGTTTTAAATTTCCTAAATGAAAGTAATCAAAAACCATACAGACCTAGTTATTCTGGTCGTTTAGGGTCTCCAAATATGATATGTATGTACATATCTACACACACGCATATATATATGCACTTATAAATATGTAATCAGTGCATTTATGCGCTGCAATAAATTAATAATTAAATAAGTTCTTTTGCTTCGTTGTTCCAATTTAAGTCAGCAAAAGGCAACAACCAACCGACACAATCGGTAAAATGGCGAAAAAACATAAAGCAATCAATTATAAGTGGCTAATAGCTCGAAGTCAGGCAGACAGCCAAGCAGCCAGGCAAGCAGTGTTGCCATTTTAGCCGTTTTTACAGCGTTTTTTATGTGTATTTGTTTTTATTTGTGTGTATTGAGAATCGGCCAGTCTGAAAAGTACTTTTCTTGTAGAGAAGATAATAGATTTGTTCATCGAAAATCCAGTCGAAAAAGTGTTCCCAAATTCGCTTCCTAGTTCTGCGCGAACGGAAATTTGCAAGTTTTTCCGCAAGCTAGTGTTGCACGGTTGCATTTCAAACAAAATAAATTTGTATAGAATTTTTAAAATTCTTTCAAAGGGGCAAAAAACAGGATCTACATGTATATTTCTTGTAAGTCCGACTTTCTTCAACGTACGTTTCAATTTCTTTGTCGGGTTTACTATGTTCACTCTGGTTGAGATTACATTTCGATTACGAATACAGTTCTTTTCAGCCGAGTACCTTTCAAATTATTGGAATTAACTAAATTAATTAAGTAAAGAAGTATTTGCTTACATTTTTCGTTTTAAAATCGTTTAAGTTTGTAAATTTCTAAATTTAACGAAGTTGTATATGTATTCAAATCAGAGTTGTTGCGAATATTATTCCGAAATAAAAGTTCTTTCTGGATAATAAATAAACCGCCTGTCCAAATTAAAAAAATTTGGTTTCATATGAAAGATTACTGATATAGCTTTTAAACAGAAAAAAACGAACGACCTCTATTTATATTTTTTTTTATAATTTAATACTAAAGAAATGCATATACCGGACACAAGGTTTGTTCTATGGTAATTAATTAACATTTTTTATTGACATATTTTTCAATATGTGGTTTTCCTCGTTTAGATATTTCAGTTTTAAAGCCATTTTAATCCTCCTTCATTTGATACCAATTTAATTTGGATAAGCGGTTTGTTTATTATCCGGAAAGGACTTTTATTTCGGAATAATATTCGCAACAGCCCTAATTCAAATTATCGTCGACAAAAAATCCAACCATGTGCCACAATCATGTGTTTCACCTAATTGCATATTCTTGCGCTCAAAATGTTTTCCAGCTTGAATTTGCAACTTCTCTCCAAGAAATAGCCTTTCTACTTGTGATTTATTTAAATAAAACATGTGAAAGTTAGTTGAAAGAGTTTAGCCGTTTTTAGCCGGTTTTTTTTTTGCGAAGTTCTGGCAACACTGCAGGCAAGGCAGCACGTGTACTAGCAATTCGTTTCGCATAACGCATTGAAGTGGCGTAAAACCGATAATAAAAAATACCAACACTTGTTCGATGCCTCACTTGTTGCAATTTTCACTTTATTGACGCTCGTTCAATTTGCTTAACGAAGTCGTCGTCGTCGTAAAGCAATTGTTTTCCAACTTGCGCATTGAATGACTCCTAATAGGTTAATAAAATGTCGAGTCGAAATGAGTGAACACATAATCGATTGAAATTTTGTTACTCACACATATGTATGTGTGTTTGCATGTGTGTATGTAAGTGAAATATTTTAATTAATAGATTTATATATTTAGGATAAAACATGTGTTTTTTTTTTAAACTCATTACATTGTCTTTGCACTGTAAATGCTAGAAGGCATAAGAGGAGTAAATTCAAAAATGATTTACTGCTTTAGGTATATGTAATAATATCTGCAGAGCAGAATTGATATCTCCCGTGTACTTGTCCTTCAATATCCTTTAATCCTTTCACTCGGCTCTCGGCTAGTATTTGGTAGAATTGTTTTTTTTTTCCAGCCCCACATAATTCCATTCCATTACAAAGTGCATTTCTTCGTCAATATCAGCGGAATGCCCACCATTATAGACAAGTTGAAGGAAACCTTGTCTTGCGCACCGGTTCATAATAGATTCAATGTGATTAAAAGTTAAATTCATTTAGAAAATATAGTATGTAGTTACATACATAAATATGTCTGTAGCCGTATGTACATACACAATTAAAGTGCTTTTTTAACTTCAAAATCATTGCAAAATTCCTCAGCATTTCCTAGAAAGCTACCCAAACTTATTGTAAGAGTCGAATGCATTACATATTTAATTGCCATTTTGAATATCAAAAAAATTACCAACAATTTTGAGAAATTATAAAGTACGCCATAATGACTGCCATTACAGTGCGTTATGGCCATCAACACACACAAAACTCAATAATTTCGAATATACTTATAGATGAGATAGGCTTGTCCCATGTCTACCGTGTTTTATTGTCGCATGTGCAACACCATTTTCATCCATTAAAATCAACAACGTGCCAGCGAGCATACATAAATATCCTCACGCCCTAACCAATGCAATAAATGCCGCCTGCACCCTTGTCGCTGGGGGTTTTATAGTGTGTTGAAAATATGTATATACATTTTATGATGCGTTAAACGTTGCGTTTATGGAATTTCTGCAAATAATCGATGTTAATAAGAATAGTACATATGTATGCAGTAGTGATAGAGTAGTACGAGCAGCAACGGACACGCAGCAGACGAATATTAAAATTGCAACAATTATTGTTAACTATAAAATTGTGATGCATGCGATTTTTATGAGCTGCATCAAAAACAACAATACCAGTAATAGCAATAACAGATGTGTATCTTTAATTCTTGAGTGGCCATTGAGTGTGTCGTCGTTGCTGGCAGGGCCTCTGCAATGATGAGGAGAAAGTGAGTATGCAAAGTAGATGCATATGCATGTATGTATGTATGTATTTCCTTTCTAATTGTGATTGCGCTTATGGTAAATATGTATGTTTATATGCACATTAGACTGCATCACTCCCCATACAAAAACAGATTGGTACTGTTTTTCCCATTGGAATCATAAAATCTATTATATTCTAAGACGTTCATCAAAATATTTCGGAAAAATATTAAGATTTAAGCGAGCCGGACCGATTTGAAAATACCTTCAAAAATGGAGTTTTTTATGAATAAAAAAGTTTCTTAAACATGTTTTTTGAAAAAATTCCCTCAAATGACAAAACGGTTTAAACTTAAAAAAATTACTTAAAAATATTAAAAAAAAAATTGAACGTAATCGTAAAAGTAAAAAAGCAGCATCAAAAATCTCATTATTACGATTTCGTTAAAAAGATTTTTAAATATTTTTATGCTGATTTTTTAAGCCTAGTCTGTTTTGTCATCTGAGGGGACTATTTTCAAAAAAGTTCTTTAAGAAACTATTTTCATTCATAAAAAGATTTTGTAATCCCGGCGGAAAACCGCAACTTTTTTTGGTGATGCAGTCTAATGCACATACATAAATATGTATATGCAGAGGGCGAAACGAAGAAAATTTGCAAAGAGTAAATGGAAAGCGTAGCAGCAAGCTTAATTACAGGTCAATGCCCGCAAGCATTTATTTAACCCTGAAGCTTTTGATGTACAGAAGTAGGTATGTACAATAGGCTGAGCCACGCATAAAATGTGCAATCATTCCCCTTAGTATGAAAATATACTCTAGGAGTATTTGGCAGTATACAAAAATTTCACAACAGCAACTCACCTAAGGTGGGATGAGGAATAAAAGCTGAAGGCAGTCTCCCACAAGCCTTGAGGTGACCTCGTGTTATACGTAAAAAAGAAACAAAACTATCACAGAGCCCGTAACTAAGCAAAAAAAAAATTAATTTAATTAAAAAAAGTTAGTAGTAAAAAAAATATTTTTAAAACAAGCTTTCTAAATACACCGTGCGAAAAAAACAAAAAAAAATCGAATAAAACAAAAGTAAAACTGCGTCTCTAGTTTTCCACTCTGACTTCAGGATTTTTTTTCAAAGGACTTAGAAATTTAAAAGATATATTTAATTCAAAAAATTATCTTAAAAATATCAGTGCAATATAGAATAACAATATGCGTACCAAATGAGAGAGAAAATTCTGTAGAATTTAGAAAAAATAAAGTTTTTTTTTGGTTTACAAGGACGAATAGGTATTGAAAAGGCGATTTTAATAAGTTTAAGTTAATAAAGTTTGCACGACGAAATTCGATGATGAGGTCGTGTATATATATTAGTGTTTAAACAATAATTTTTTCAAAAATAAATATTGCAAATTTTCAAGGATATTTAGTGACAAAATTTGTAAAGGCCATTTTCCATATCCGCTCGTCCTAATGTACCAAAAAATTTATTATTTTTGGAATTTGTCAGATGTTTTAAATTTTGATAAATTTCAATCAAATCAGTCCATAAATACGGGTTCACCCAATATCTCGGCAAATGTTGTTTGTGGAGTTATTCATTTCCATTCAAGTCATAATATTTTATAAATATAAAATAAATCAACTAATTTCCTTTAATGTAGGTAATATACACACCTTGCAAATATGAACCAAATCGGACTATAT